GGGGCATTCCGAGCGTCTCGGGGGACCCTTGGCTGCCCGCCGGCCTCGTCAGGGGTGGTGACATTTCAGGGGTCGGCCCGGCTGCGTGAGCGGGGGCCGGTGTCCGCGGGCGGGCTGGCATCGCGCTGCCGCGGTGGGGCCCGGGCGAGCGGCGACCGACCCGGGCAAATGTCATCGCAGCGGCAACTCGCCAGGCTGAGCTTTCAGTTGCTCTCCCGGCGCGGTGGGAGAGGAGAAAGAGCATCTTTGCGGCCGCCAGCTGGTGAAACGCGCCCGTTCAAAATCGGTGCCGTCCCCCGCGCCCACCTGGGTGGCCCTTGCTGCCACGGGGCCGCTCCTGACGGCGGCAAACAAATCCGGAGTAAAGCCCACGCTCACGGTCACACCGAAAGCGGCGTGCCAAGGTGTAGCTTGCAGAAAGCGGGGTTACTCGAGAAGAGCCTCCTCAGTTACCTGGCACCTATCGGCAGATATAGCTCTAAGCTTAGCTTTTCGGTTTTAATTCTGAAATTGTTTAGGTCTCACTATTAGAAAGGGGTGGATGTGTGGGTGTGTGAAGCTCCATATCTGGCATTGCTTCTGAAAGCAATGGGTAAAATCTTCGTGTGCAACTTCTGCGCAGGAGAAAAGTTCAGAAATCTTATTTTTGGAGAGTTATGAGGCATGGAGCAGAGAAAACCTGTTAGCGGGAATTAGGCAGGACTATAAAAGCGGAAGTTGAAAGTGGAATTTGTTGCTGCACTCTTTGGTCTGGCGGGCACATCTGGACTGTTGCATGTCCGTAAGAAAAAAGGCACAGACTTTGCCTTTTCAGTTCCTGGAAAATTCTTGGGACATTTATCTAGCCTGAATTATAAACCGACTTAATCCTAGCGCCTCGTATCTTAATTAAAATATTTATGCGCAAAGGAGGGACGCAGATGCACTCAGTTCGAGTCTCTTCGTTCTGGCTCTATTGACGGCGGCTTTTTGCAGGTTCCACCTCCGACAGCAGTTTCGGTGCAAGCGGTTTTGCGTGTGGGAGAGGAACCTGTGGATGTATTAAACGAGGAATCCAGCTGCAGGCTGTTCGCTAGACATCTGTGTTATCTGCTGGCCGTGCCCCTCAGTTTCATGGTGGTTGTATGTCTCTATTTCCTCCTGTCTCTATTTCTTAATCGCACGAGCTATAGGCACAGCTTCCCCAGCGCTCGCAGATGCAGCGGTTTGTGTTTTACAAGGGCTACGGCGGCTCATATTTTGTGCTATTCATCCTCCTTAAGGATCAAAGTTCTTCTGAACAGATTACTGGCCTGAAACCAACCCACTGAAATGGTAATATGGTCGTTCTTTAAAAAAAAAAAAAAAAAAAAAAAAAAAAAAAGTGTAGGTATTTTCTGGTGTTTTCCCATCAAGTACCTGCCCAATTTCTGTATGGCACACGCCGGGAATCAATAGAAGTTAACAAGTCCTCAAAACATTCCCCATCTCTTTGTTTAATCTCTTTTACAATAAAGCCGAGGGAAGAGAATTAAAAATCTTTGAAGTATATTAAACCTCAAAAGGCTCAGCCAAGTAGACTTAAAATAGTCACTTATTTTCCAAAACTGGTTTGTCGAGGGACAATAAAAGGAAGTAAAATTTATGGAGAAATTATACAGTGGATTTGTCACTTAAAATATCGTAACTGTCTCGGGGACAATACCCCATGCTGAGGATTAATGGTCCCTCCAGACCTTTGATTCACCAGCGCCTTTTCTTTGCCCTTGACAAATTGGATTTTTAGGAATGGGAAGGTCGCCTGGCCCATTGTCTGCCAGCCATTCACTCCGCCTGATTATGCAGGAGGGTTAGGGAAAGGCTCCATGTGACCCTCTTGGATGGGACTCCGCAGCTGCTCGAGGAGCCAAACTCTCTCACCAAACTCTGCGCCCCAGAGCATCCCCCTGCCAAGGGGTACCCCTCCTGCTCCCGTTGAAAAGCCGGCGGCCGCACACCGCCGCGTCACTCTGCGGGCGGAGATACGCCTGTGCTCATCCTCCCCGCCGCTCGCCGCTGTCACTCCGGCCCCCTTAAGTAGTTGGGGTTCCCGAGCGCTCCCACCCAGAGGCAGCGATGCAAACCAGCAGGGCTCCGGCCATCAGCGTGAGCGCCGAGAGCTGCATCCCGGCCGGGCTGCGCCTGGGTCCTGTCCCGGGCATCTTCAAACTGGGCAAGTACCTGTCAGACCGCAGGGAGCCAGGACCCAAGAAAAAGGTATTTTCCTACGCTCTCTCCTGCACCGCTGGACCTCGCTCTTTCGTTGACTCGGGGGAAGCCAGCTTGGGAGAAGAGGCTGCTCTTCGCCCCCGCTCTCTTCAATCCTCCCTTCCCAGAGCGAGCCAGGAAAGGAAAGGGGAGCGTTTCCAGAGCGTCCCGAGATGTCTCCTCGCGTCTTTGCCAGGAAAGCCCGCCAGCCCGTGCTCTC